ATAGAAAGTTAATTGAAAATGAAACCTGATGAAGAGTGGGATGGGACAGGCAGTGGGAGATGGAAGGGCTGCAGGAGGGAGGGAGGTTGGTGGGGGAGCCACAACAATGCAAAAGTTGCTCTTTGTAAATTCACATTAATTAAATAAAAAAATAAAATAAAATAAACTAGCCACCCAGGCTCTGTCTGCCTGTCAAGCAAAGTCTCCCTCTTCCTACATACATGCAGGCACTCTCAGAGTATCTCCCAAGAGGTGGAAATACCCTTTCTCTCTGTCCTTCCTGTTTGGTACCCCTCCTTACTCAGCCTCAAATGTCAGGAGAAGCGAGAGGTGGAGGGGACATCATACCTACTGGGCAGCAGAGACCCACTGCCTGGTCCCAGTCAGCCCTAAGATCTTTACTTATTCCCTACCAAAGATGCCACATGTCTCATTTCCCCTACCCCCTTTGCTGCCATTTTTAAAAACACACTGACAAAAACTGGTCTTAGGATGGTTTAGTCTTGAGAAGGGCCAGGTTTTCCAATTCCCTCTGATGGTTTTCTAGACTGACCAGGACTCCTGGCCTCTCTGAGCCATAGGGGTTACATTTTCTTGCTAGTTAAATTGTAAAAGTTTTGCTGCCCATCTATTCAAGAACCCTCTGTTCTATGGTTGGGGACAGTATATATCATGTTAGAATTCTAGACCTTTCCAAACACCACTGCCCATCCATTACAGGTCCTGAGCCCTAAAAGGATAAAATGGTGTGAAACTCTACTGTGTTAGAACTGTTGTTGTAGCACAGTTGGTTAAGCTACTGCCTGCCACGCCAGCATCCCAAATGAGCATCAGTTCACGACCCAGCTGTTCCACTTCCAATCCAGCTCCCTGTAAACATACCTAGGAAAGCAGCATACGATAGCCCAAATGCTTGGACCCCGGACATTCACATGCACAATCCAAATGGAATTTTGGGCACCTGGCTTCAGTCTGGTCCAGTTCCCAGTCTTGCAGCCATTTGGGGAGTGAAGCAATGGATAGACTATCTCTATCTCTCTGTCTCTCCCACTCTATCTGTAACACTGCCTTCCAAATACTTAAATCTGCCATTCATCAGTGACCAGACATGTCTGTGCATGTACACATATGTAAATATTTTTCACGATGCCCTCTACAATGTTATCTTGCTGTCAGTTTAGATCTGTACCTTAATTGGTGTCCACATAAGTGTGTATCATGAAGACTGTACTGCCTTTCCCTTTAGATGTGCTAAAACTTTCTTAATTCCCTAAAACAAGATATTTTTCCTACTGATATTTAGGCATTGTAAACAACACAAGATTTCAATGAGATAAAAAGGGAGATGAGAAGTTTTACGGAAAACCCTAATAAATTGATAGATAGATGATATAAAGTGGCTGAAAGATTTGATCTTACCTGAAAAGACATATCTCTCCTGTGGGCACTATCTTAACTCACAAGAAAAAAACAATGTCAAAATATGCCGAAGACTATAGATTATTAGCTCAGGTCATCCTTGATATTAGAAAAAAGCCCCTGGGACCAGCATTGTGGCCTACTGGGATTAAGCTGTTGCCTGCAACAATGGCATTCCATATGGGCACCAGTTTGAGACCCAGCTGTTCCACTTCCAATCCAGCTCCCCACTAATGCTAAAGCAGTAGAAGATGGCCCAAGTGCTTGAGCCCCTGTACCCACATGAAAGACTCAGAAGAAGCTCCAGGCTCCTAGATTCACCCGGGTACAGCCCCAGACATTGTAGCTATCTCGGCAGTTAAACAGCGAATGGAAGATTTCTCTCTCTGTAACTCTACCTTTCAAATAAGTAAAAGAATGAATCTTAAAACAAAGAAAGTAAGAAAGGCCTTGAAGATTAGGGATGGTACTTAATGAGCACCCCTTTACTAACAACCTATAGGCTGCCTCATGGTCTATTTTAACAGAGACCAAGAAAAAAAAGTGAACTAAGCAAAAGGAACAACATAAGGCTAGGTGGTAGGCCCAGCTAATAGCTGCTTTTTACAGTGATCTACTATCAGGGAGATCCAACAAGTCCAGTCCAGTCCTAAATAGCACCTGTAGTTAATGTAAAAAAACAGGGCACTGGGCAAACAGCTATGATGACAAAAGACAGCTTCCAAAGAAGCCCTGCCCACCCTACCAATAACCCGGCCACTGAAAGTGAAGGTCGAAGGATTCCCAGGTCACAACTGCAGACCCTGCTGGACCTAAGCTGAGGAAGCTCTATGCTCTGCCTGGCTTCCAAAGTAACCACCGCAATTGAGGGGACAGCCTGGGGTCATTAGACTTTGAAGCCAGGACAGTATATTTCCTTTTAAAGACACCACCTATTCAGTGCTAACCTCCTTTCCAGATCAGCTCTCCTCCCACACCAACCAGGTGATGAGAATCAATGGGGTACCATCCCTAAGGAGGTTCGCACCTTCTTTGTAATGTTTCCTCCAGCACCCCATATGAAGAGTTAGATCCATGGGTTAACCTGCAAGTCTGGGCCTCATATATACCTGCCCAGGCCTTAAAGTCCATTGGTTATTATTAAGCCTAACTTCCCCTCCTGTCAGTTCCTACTCAGCTTTAAATCGGTTAACAAACAGGGCATCCAAAATTTGACAGTAAATATATCTGACCCTTGGAGAAACAGGTTTCAAAAATCCTCCTAGCTACCTAGGTCATGCCTCAGCTGTTGAACTACCTGAAGGCCGACAGCCTGGGCTGCCGTGCTGACTGGGGCGCCCTGGCATCTTCACCTGTGCCAAAAGCTGTAGCTTGGACAACAGATACACAAAGGAGCTTGTGTGGAAGCAGGATGTCACAGACACCCTTTAAGGACCCCCAAAGCCTCATCTAGTGTCACTCATCTGCAGCTACCAGTTGCAAAGCTTGGCTTTGTCCTAAGGAAAGAATTAAACCAGAAATAGAGGCACCAAGGGGTCATCTGAGGCATTATTTACAATGCCTAAATATCAGTATAACATGAATGTCCTGTTTTAGGGAATTAAATAAGACTTAGTACATCTGCAGAGGAAGGAAGTCCAGTCTTCATATTACACACCTATATGGACACCAAATAAGGTACACACCTAAATTGGCAGCAAGACAGCCCTGTAGAGGGCATTGTGCGAAAATATTTATGTATGTGTACACGCACAGACAAGTCTGGTCACTGACAAACGGCAGGACTAAGTGAATTATTTTAACTTTTATGTAATTTATTTCTATGATTAAAACAAGTTATGTCTCTAACAGAGTAAAAATATCTGATTCTATATATATATATATGTTTTATAATGTATCTTAGATTATATAACTGATCATTTATTATATATAAAGGTATGTAGTTTATAAATTAAGATATATTTAGAAGAGTACATTCAAAGCTTTTGCTGATGGTAGACTGCGAGACTAGATTTCCAGGGACCACTGACCTAAAGTACACTGAGAGACAGTAATTTCATGAGTTCTGTCATGCAGGAACTCATTAAAGACAGACACAAAGATGAGAATTCCTCTTGCATTTCTAATAAAAACATGCTTATGGGACATTATAATAGATAATTTTGTATTTATTATGTAGCCTTTAATTTGCTCCACTAAACATTCGAAACACCAACCTCATTATATAATGTAGACATTTATTGCTAAACAATGAACAAACTGTAGGCATAAATCTGCTTATACATAAATCAGGGTTCTACCAGCACATTTTAAACCAAAGAAATACATTGAGACATAGGATTTCTCAAGAATTTAATCCTGAAAAAGAAGTAAGACTATGCACCCAAAAAGGAAAAGTTAAAAATCCAGTTATATAGATTCATATATAGGTTGAAGGAGAAGAGAAGCAAAACTGGAAAGGGACAATGGAAGAATTGTCCCGTTACTGGAAGGAGCAAAAAAGATTTCATGTATTAAATTAGAGATAAAACACCTTCCCTATAAACAATATAGTCCTGCCAATTGTACTGAGGGAGAATGAGGTGGAATTGATAGCACCAGAATTAGATAAAGCACCAGCTAAACAAAGAGCTTCTGGCGTCCTAAGGAAGGAGCCAGAAAGCACAAAAAAAGATCAGTTCGGTGGCAGTCAGCCATTAGATCCCAATGAAGCTAATCCACACCACTAACTTGTGAACGAAGTAGATTTTCCTCCTTGTCTGTTCTCAGAAATAATCGTTAATTTTAAGTGCAGCTCAGGCAGGTGCTCAGAGAGTCCCTGCTGTTCTGACATTGTGTTGGAAGGTTTCCAAGCAGCAAGCTGGTGCAGGCCTTGAGCCCCTTCCACGTCACTGGTTCTCCAATTCCTTGCACCGCCAGACAGTCAGGACTGTCCTACCTATAACACTCAGGACAACAGCAGCTATTCTGGCATCCAGGGAGGATTACTTCCAAAAATTTACAGTCAAAACATCCATACATTTATTCAGCAAGTGACACAAGGGATGTCTAGTCACTGATGTGAACTATGATACGTCTCCTGGGATTACATGACGGGTGCTCATCTGCCTTGCAGATAAGCTATGACTGTGAACTGAATTACTGACATCTTTATGCTTAAGGGGATGTGCTGTGATGCTGACTCACTGCACTTAAGATCAAAGCTGGACACATATAAACTTATACCGGACTTAACACAGAAGAACAGAAAGAATAGGGTTTATTTGTGTGCATCTAAACTTGTAGCATTTTATTTCTCATTCTACAGTGTCCGAGACTGGTTCTCCTGATTTTCACACTTACCTTGCTTTCACCCTTTTGAGGAAGGCAAATGAGAAATGAGAAAAGGGCTAGATGCTGTCCTACATGCCCTTCTTAAAAACATGAATAAGCAGCAATTATTCCTCTAAAGAGTCGCGATTAGTGTATGAATGATTATGGCTCATGATATAAGTGTGGATGACAAAAAGGGATTGTAAAATCTAAGGGAAATGGGTCTCCTTTGTGCACATATCATTCCCCCACCCCTGGGGTATACAGACCCTGCCAACTGTCTTGCTGACAGATCCGCTGTGTCCACTGCAAGTTTCCAGGTGGTGAACAGAGAAATGCAGCCACATGAAGAGCCATCTGTAACATAAAGGCATCTGCCAGCTCTCTCCTCCAGATTCAGTGAGGACCAGTGACATATGTGTTGATCAACTCCCATTCCTTAGAAGGAAGGACCTGTGAAATAAGAGCATGTTCATTTTCCCAAAGTGTTAGCAGGTGGATGACTCCTACTACCCACAATATGTGGATATATCTATTGACACAAAGATAGACTAGATGGATTTCTCACTAACATAGAAGAATAAATGGCAAACTTAGACGAAAGCAAGCAAACACTGTTGTCTCCTAATACAGGTAATGGACGCTCTGTTTACCAGAGGAAAGACTGATATGGACATCATTAAGGCACAGAAGTTTGAGGTGCTCCTCTGAATTTCACACAATGGTTCATATCAGCTTTTATGAAATCCACTAGACAAAGATTGTCTGTTGAATCGATAATATATTTAAAAATGAAGAGGAATTTGACAAATTATAAATCAGCAATGGGAGCAATTTTATCTCACTTTAATGACATCTATTAACAAAAAAATAATAAGCCAAAATTGATAAAGAAAAATTATTCCAATTTCAATCTGAACTGAGAATACATTCTTATATCAACTTGGAAACTATCAGGTGTAAAGATAAAGGTACTTTCTTTGAAATGGAAACTTTAGAAATGTGAATGCAACTGGCCCTGTGTTAAAACCATTCATGTCTTGAATTTTAATTCCAATTATACAGCTTGCAAGCTAATGCCAAAATGAACCTGTTTTCCTCTCTACTTAGAAAAGTGAGGAGGGAAGGAAAACTACACATGGCATCACTGGAAACAAGCCAAGTGACAGAGTACTGGGGAAGGAATTGGCAGCCACACCATCTGAGAGATCAAACCGGTGACAATTTTCAATGCATTTCAAAAATAAGATGTAGCATAGTATGACAAGCACAAACTTTTTAACAAAAGCAGTGAGAATTACTTCACTCCCTCCCCTTTTCTGCAATTATCATTCTAGTCTTCTAAACGTTCCCACTTGATTCCAGCTACATTGCTATTTTGGTATAAATGTCAAGAAAGTCTTAAAGACTATATTTTTCTAATCTTGGAAGATGCCTCAACTTTTTTGGAGAAAACAAGGTTCTAACAAACAAAGGGAATTTGGAGATAACTTCTGCCTGATTAAAAATGGAAATATATATCACAAGGAAGCATTGCTAAAGGAAAAAAAAAACCCACTGGCTATTAAAATGTTAGCAGTCTGCAGGCCCATAATCTAGTCCACAACACCTGAACAGTATGATCCCTTTGACCCAAGACCCTTGGAGCATTTCCAAGGCAGTCATCTCTTTAATCTTGAAACAATTGCTGCAATATAGACAAAGTGCTGTCCAACAAAGCCAATTTTCCAGATAGTAAATTCTCAAGTGCAACAAAGTCTTACTTAATGAGCTAGAAAAAGGAGAGTGTTGGACGTGAGGTGTGAGAGCCCAGATTGTCATGTAAGATTCCATATCCCTGTATGCCTCACCTTCTCATCAGAGGGAGGAAGCTCACACTCTGCCCCAGAGGGAGTGGCAGTAGAGGAAATGTACCTGATTATTTTCTCCTTCCTTGCCCTCTTGTTCACTCTTTCCCTAGAGAGGAGAAATGGTTTACTTAGGAGAAGAGGCTGAGCAGGTGTAACTCAATCCCCTCTAGGTGCACTCTCCACTCTAGCCTACCCTGGCTCCAGTGATAATTCTATAAGAGTGCCTAACTCAGCTTTAGTAATGATGAAGTTATTGTTTTAGTCCTTTAGAGTCCTTTCCAGTAGTTTAAATCAATCAAAAATGATGCCTGGTTCACAAGAGGTAGCCAACTGAAAATAATGCTAGTAATGACAACGATATTAAGAACCAAAGTGACTGGATATTGACTATGAGCCTAACACGATGCCAGTCATGCGACCATACAGATTTAAATGTATTAAATGGCTGAATTTTCACATATCTAGGAGGTACAGAATTATATTAATCTAGGCTTCAGAATCCTTCCGGAATCACACAGTGCAATCTACTCTCTCCATCATCCTCTTGTCACTACTAACTTGAGGTATTTAACCCTCATTGTTAAATTATTAGTCATTTTATAACATATAATACTTTTTTTAAAAAATCTGTTTCACTTTGACTACTTCGCATTTATATTTACATAAGATTTTTTTTGCTTTTTTATAAGCAAAAGAGACTAAAATAACAATATTGATTATACCTAACACTATGACCAAAAGCTGTATTATGACCATGTATTATCTGATATAATCTTAAAAAGAATTGAATTAGCAAACAGCATTATATCCCCATTTTACAGATGAGGCTTCATTCTGCTTTCAACTAGAAATACTTGCTGTCAAACATCTTGAAGCAGTAGTCAGTCTACTATACCCCAGAAAGTTAACTTATACAAAATATGCAGAAAGCATACACAGAGAGTAGATCATTCAAATGTAATTAGTACATTTATTATCTACCTTTATATCTCAAATAATCATTATTGTATTCTTGCTTCTTGCATATTTAAATCATGAGTTTGCTCATAACTTGCCAGCACTTTTTAACATTTTTTTAAAAAGACTTGCTTATTTATTTGAAAGGCAGAGTTACAGACAGAGAGGGAGCTGCAGAGAGAGAGATCTTAACAACTGCTGGTTCACTTCCCAAATGGCCACAATGGCCAGGGCTTTGCCAGGCAAAAGCCAGGAGCCAGGAACTCCATCCAGGTCTCCCATGCAGGTGAAGAGTCCCAGGCACATGGGCCATCCTCCACTGCTTTCCCAGGTGCATTGCAGGGAGCTGGTTGGAAGTACAGCAGAAGGAGTTGAACCGGTGCTCATACGGGATGCTGGCATCACAGGCAACGGCCCAATCCACAGAGCAACAACTCTAGCCTAGACTTATATCTTTTTTTGTAATTTAGAGGAAAACTGTAAATGTAAGAGGACTGTTTTATTTATGATTCACACTATAAAAATGCCAAAGCCAAGCTTATAGCACTTAATTAAAAGCCCAGAACTCTTAACTAAAAAGCTTCCTGGATGTTTTTATTTATGAAATCTATAGTTCACTTCTCTACCATAATAGTTTTTTTTAATTCTGTCATTAGAACATCTTTCTGCTTTTTCCAGAATAAACAGTCATACATCGTTTTTTCTATCATTTTCACAAATCTCTTCTAGCTGAACTATCCATCCTATCTTTGAATAATTCTTAGCAACATCTAAAAAAGCTCTACCATCATCAAATGGCAAGGTAGAATTACCAACAAGGAAGCCCTGTAATAGAGCCAGTAAACCTGCATTGAATTTTGATCAAACACAACTACCTTTCTGTGTCTTGCACATAACTGGAGCTCAGTAAATATGGGTTGATTTGTTGACCTACTGAATTGGATCCATGGGGAGGAAGGATGTGCACAGGACGTTCAAGAAGCTTACGGATGATGAGTGAAGGAGGATACCTACAAATGTGGAGATTAGAAACAGTGTTTTTAAAGAAACCTGCAAGCATGGCTTCAAACAGTGAAAGCTCTCACAGAAGATGCTACAAGCAAACACCCAGCTGAAGGAAGATGTCTGCTTTCCCAGAGGTACCAGCTCCCCTCCAATGGGATGAGACACAGCTGCATATGTCTGGAAGTCTGCATTTGTGTATGGTAGGGAAAGAGCTACCCATGCCAAAGAAACATGTTCAGCTCAAATGTCTTCAGAAACAAACAAGATCCCTAACTTTGTTTCTCTTTCTTTAATTAACTGCATTCAACTTATTTATAGAACTATTTTAACTCTTCAAGTCATCAGTATCATAGCACACAACCACATTATATAGAAACAGCTTTAATGACACTGAAAGAAAATAAGTTGAAAAACAACTTATTTATTTGTTATCCAAGGATTATTATTTCATAACTCATTTGATAAAGATGTCAAAAAGATAGACCCATTACCCTGTGTAGCCTTTCTTGGATCTTTGTTTTTTTTTTAAATCAATAATATATAGTTACCTGCTTCATTTGGATATTAAGCATGTATTATTTTTATTTTAACTAATTATTTTGTAATTGACTCTCCATTATTCACAACAATTGATACATACAGCATATTCACACTGTTCATGTTGCCTTTAATTTTTAATTTTTCCCATGGGTTTCTCATTAATTTGTATTTCAAATAAAAATATTCTAACACAGTAAGAATTGGCAGTGAGGCAGAATTATTAAGCAGGAATTTTCAGTAGACTCTACCATCTCATCTTTCAGTTTATTTCCCATTTATCCTATCAATGACCTTTTCCCATCACAAATGCTTTCTGCCTCTAGTGTCCTCTGCCCTTGGAGTAACCAAACTTCTCCTATCATGAAATTAACAGGGTACAAACATGTCAAGTCCCTCCCTCCCCAAGAGGGAGAAGAGAAAAGTCACAAGAGGACAGAAGATCCAAGGAGCAAAAGCAGGAGTGTGGGCTAGAAACTGGCGTGGGGGGTTGGTGCTGTTATGCAGCAGGTTAAGCTGATGCCAGGGATGCCACATTCTGTATCACTGCCTGGCTCAGGTCCTGCTACTCTAATCTAACCCAGATCCCTGCTAGTGGGCCTGGTACACAATGAATACTCGATTTCCTGTCACCCCACTCAGGTGGGAAACCTGGATGAAGCTCCTGTCTCCTGGCTTTGGACTGGCGAAGTCCCAGCATTGGGACCCTTTGTGGAGTGAACCAAGTCTTCTCTCCCTCCCTCCCTCCCTTCCTCTAACTCTCTCTCTCTCTTTCTCTCCAAATTAGCTGGAAAGAAAAAATGCATACAAAGTCAAAAGTGGAATAGCTATCTTGGGAGCAGATTTTGTGCTGTCTGCATTCCAAGTCCCCAGGAGGAGGCTTAGCTTGTGCTAGGAGGAAAGGAGGTTTGCAATAACTTGGATATGCTATTGCAATTTGAAGCTTCACTTGAACTGAAGTGGACTTTTAAAAACGCAGGAATATAACAATAAAGCTGAGAGAACTGTCCAACATTTCCCCAAGGAGTAAGAGAAATCTTAGCAATCATAAAAAGAGATATTTTGACCTTCTGAAGTAAAGATTACTCAATTAACCAGTGACATGTACCACAGTTTCTAAAACATTCTCCTTCAGAGAAATTTGGTATTTGGCATTTGGTATTTCTACTTTGGGTATTTATGTGTGGTGATACAAAAAATCTGTATCAGTTATCACGATATCACTGGAACAAAATGTCTGATGCAGGCTACTTCTGAAGAAAAAGAGGTTTATGTAGCTCATAGTTTTAAATTCAAAGTCCAAATAGCCTCAAAGCAGGTGAGCGGTAGATCTGGAGTAGAGAAAGGATCATACGGGCAACCAGGAAGCAAAACGAGAGCCTGGGCTTCCATGATCCTTTCGGAGGGTTCACCCTGAGTAACCCAGGGAGACTGTCCACTAGGTCACACCCCTTAAAGGCCCACAGCATCTCCCAGTAGAGGCACCCTGGAGAGCAGCACCCAGTCACAATGGAACCTTAGAGCACACTCATATCACATCCATACCATAGTAGGATCATACTGTCAAATCAGACTAGATGAACCTCCAGATCTTTACCCAATGTAAGATACCAATGATTTAAAGAAAATAAATGAAAACATTTTCCTTGGGGGAATCTGAGACCCTCAGAAGCAGATTCCAACAAAAAAAGGGCTTTCTTTTCCTACATTAGAAAAACATTTGGCTCCAGGTTAACAGAAGAAGTATTTAATCAATACACTCAGGCACATCACTCACGCAGAAAATGATACATCGGGCTATCATGTATCAATTACACAGCATACAAGGCCTTCCTCAGATAGCAAGTTCCCATGCAGCTACAAATTGTATGTGCATTTACAATAAGCAACTTCAACAGAAGAGTTAAACAACTTTAACAAAATAGTTTCCATTGCTAAAAACCCTTTCGTAGACTAAAAAATATATTATTATCTTTCTTCTAGTATTTAGCATTAGTGGCTTTATCAGTCATTTGTGTATTTATGAGATCACTTATATTTTACTAGATGGTAATCAGCATGTTTTCCAGTAGAATTAATGTGGCTATTCTTCATAGACATACTTTGAATAAAGCAAAGAAGTTATAGGGTTACTACAAACTCTTTTCTTCCCAAACTTTAATGAAAAGGCTGAATATAACTGTATTTTTAAATACAAGATATTTCACTAAAAGTGTGAACAATAAATATTTAATAAATTCTTTAAATAAATGGCCTATATTCATATTATGGGATAGTTAGGTTTGTTATAAATGGTAATAGGTAGATGCATATATTTTGACATGAAATTTTGGTTTGAAAGACAGCATGTTTTAAAAAAATCTTACAAAATGGTACATACAGGGGCCAGTGCTGCAGCTCAATGGGTTAAGCCATTGCCTGTAATGCTGGCATCCTGTTTGGTGCTACTTTATATCCCTGTTGCTACCCTCCAATGTGCCTGAAAAAACAGTGAAGACAGATCAAGTACTCGGGCCCCTGTACTCATGTGGGAGACCCAGATGAAGCTCCTGGCTTCCAGCTTTGACCTGGCAAAGCCTTGGCCATTGTGCCTTTTGGGGAGTGACCTGTCAGATAGAAGAAGTCTCTTTCTCTTATTGTGTGTGTGTGGGGGGGGGGGTGGCCTACACATATGTGTGTCTCTCACTCTCTGTAGCTCTGCCTTTCAAATACATAAATACATCTTTAAAAATGTAGTTGGACATATTATGATAAAAGTCATTATGAATATTATGGGTAGTTATATATATTTTGATACAAAATTGTTATTTGAGAGACAGCTTAGTAAAAAGGTTACAAAGCAATACATACAGGATGACATAGAAAAATATAAATTTTATAACACATACACATTAGGAAAGAAGACTGGAATGCTAGAGAAAATATGCTAACAAAGACTATATATACCATGTTCCCTGTCACATAAATTTGATTCTAACTTTCTGCAGTAGTTTTTTCAGACCCATGAGCACACATCACACCAAAAATAGTCTCACCCTCCACGTACACTTTACCTAGAGAAATTTTCTCAACCTGATAACTTCCTGCCAAAACATCTGGAAATCATTATAACTCTCCTCCTTTGCTTAAGCAAGGTTAGGTATGGCTCCTGTCTTCTCCAATAGTTCCCCGACTACACAGCTATAATAACATACGCCATATGTATGTTCACTCTTTGTTTACTTCTCCTAATAAGCTGCCAAGACCCGTCATGCAGGGGCTGCCTCAATCATCTTCATAGCCCTATCACATTTGTTGCACAGAATATTTTATGAATGTATTTACTTTTCTAATCTTGAAAGAAAGTAGAGAGAATGTCTCAGTAAACTACAGAACATTACACTAAGTGTTACAAGAAATAAAAAAGAAGATACAATGATTATTTTCTCTCTAAAAATTTAGTTTGGAGGGGCCAGCACTGTGGTGCAGTAGGTTAACCTACGCCTGCGGCACTGTAATCCCATACCGGTGCCAGTTCTAGTCCTGGCTGCTCCTCTTCCAATCCAGCTCTCTGCTATGGCCTGGGAAAACAGCAGAAGATAGCCCAAGTGCTTGGGCCCCTGCATCCATGTGGAGACCTGGAAGAAGCTCCTGGCTCCTGGCTTCAAATCGGTGCAGCTCCAGCAACTGCAGCCATTTGGGGAATGAACCAGCAGCAGGAAGACCTTTCTCTCTGTTTCCTCTACCTCTTACTGTCTATAAATCTACCTCTCAAGTAAATAAATTAAATCTTTTAAAAAAATAGTTTTGGCTAATCCTCCACCTGTGGTGCTGGCACCCTGGGTTCTCGTCCTGGTTGGGGCGCCGGATTCTGTCCTGGTTGCTCCTCCTCCAGTCCAACTCTCTGCTGTGGCCCTGAAAAGCAGTGGAGGATGGCCCAGGTCCTTGGGCGCTGCACCCACATGGGAGACCAAGGAGGAAGCACCTGGCTCCTGGCTTCGGATCCGCATAGCGGCCATTTAGTGGGTGAACCAACGGACGGAAGACTTTCTGTCTGTCTCTCTTTCTCTCACTGTCTAACTCTGCCTGTCAAAAAAAAATTTTAGTTTGGAAAATAAGACAAAATCTCAACTTGTTTCCTAAACTGTAGCCCAGAGATCCAACGGGGTAGAGTAACTATTATCAGATGCTTCTTTTACCACCCCATTCTTATCTTGCTCCACCCATTCCATGGGGAACTGCATTCATTAGGAGGATGGCCTCTAAGTAGCAGAAAATCTAAGAGTCATCTAAACCCAAGAAAACAGTTGTTATTCATACATTACAAAACATCTGAAGTGCCTAGAATTGTTTTTTTCCCATAACATCTTTATGCTTTTCCAACCATAACCCATTGGTTTGTGGCCTTACAGTCACATAATATCTGCCGAATACAAACACTGTATCTTTTAGGGGGAAAGAAGTAAAAGAAACAGAAGTAAAATGGGTG